AGCCCACCTGATGCTGTACGGGCACTTCTCTCCATACTGGAGTTTGAAGGGCCGCTCCTGGCTACAGTTGGAGCTCAGCTCTGAACACGGGCTGTGCAGCTCCCTCTTGATCTTCAGCTGCAGTCCGTGGAACGCCACTACGATGGGAAGGAGGAAGAACAATTAACATTTACGCTGAAACTGTAACATTTTTCTATTTTTTTTGTTCATTTAGCAGCAGACTGTTTCTGGATTTGCTTGTAAGCACCTGAGACAGAATTCGTACAATCACAGGACGGATAAAAAATAAATGAATAAAAACTAAAACCGCTGTCTTCATTTACATCTGACAGATCATTCACAAAAATTAAATGAGATGATCAGAGTCTGGAAAGAAAAATACTGCTTGTTTTATTTAAGTACAGCAGATTCAATTTCAAAACTTAGAATACAATTAAATTTCAGAACTGCACACAGCAGCTTTACCCACAATGTCATGTTACAGTGCAGATACAAGCAGGCATGAATGTGCCAAGCCATCACTAATTAAGAGAACTCGTGATGGATATATTAAAAACACTTGCTTTTCTAAGCATCCATCTGCCAAAGGATATGACATCTGAGGCCATCACTTACACAAACAACTCACTTCAAATCCCATTTATTCAGCCTTTCCTGACGGGGACTCTGGTAGTGAAATATGACAATCATAAAACAGGGTGTGCGGTGAGCTCCGATAAATGCTTTATCTGCTTTCAGCTGGCTGTCAATAAGTTCCAGACGACAACAACAAGTCTCATTGATCTGAATGGGGGCCTGCGATCTCTACCTATGGCCCCACAGTGAGCCCGGTGCATCTGAGAGGCTGTTAAGTGCCTGATCAGTCCTGATTAACATCCCATCATCTAGAGTCATGATCAACGCTAATCCAATTGACTGCGCTTCTGAAGAAAAAGCCAGTCAGTCAGAATGAAGTCAGGCTCAGGTTGCATCGCCAATCGCCGTCTCACCGAGCAACAGCGAAGCCATCCCACAGCGCTCTATCAAACACAACAGAGGGCCAGCCGCGGTTGAAGACGATCGTTTTTGATTGATGTTTTCAGACTGAGAGATGGCCCTCTCCTTTTATAACCAGGAATTATGAATGAAGAAAGTCCATCAACTCTTGGTCCAACTCAAGTGCAAACATTTAGATATTTGAGTACTAGAGAAACTTAAATATGTGGCTAAGGGCTGTTTTTCTTTTAAATACAAGAAGGTCTCTGAGGCTACGAGGAGTTGAGAGAGAAGGATGTTTTGAGGAGTTTTCTCACGGCTGACAGACAGCTGCTGTACGAGCAGGGGTCGATCTGCCAACACCCCATCTGACGCACAGTCGAGCCCCCTGGGTGATGGGCCACACGGGCCCGGCATGACAAAGCTCAGGGGTTGTTTGCAGCCCTCGCTGGGGGCCTGACCTTTTCTGGGTCATCGATCGGAGGTCAAAGAGACATTTCCTGAGGGGAGACCTTTGTTGACGCTGGCATCGCAAAGCCTTGTTAAGAGATTATGGACTCAAAACAATACCTCAGCTTTGGCTGTCAAGATCACAATCAGTGTCAGGCTAATTACAGTTTACATTAAACACACGTGAATTTGTTTCGTTTAAGAGCCGACTCCACCGGCTTCTTGTTTACAGCTCACCTGAAGCTGAACCATAATTCCTTTCTTTATTTAACAATGAATGATATTAAAACAACGTCTATAAAAATGCTGCCGTTAAACGTAAGCGCCACATCGGCACTAAACAATTCACGTGTGCTGCAGCACAGGGCGTTAAATTAGAAATGGAAATGTCACAATAGATTTTGTCAGCGGGGTGCCAAGGTACACAAATCAATAGCGAGGGCATTGCCTCTGACTAAAACAGACACTTCCTTTTTAGTCCAGAATGTCATGCCCATCACTGCTTGATTGCTCTCATTATCTACATATTGATTAACTAAGATGGTAGGCAGTTTTAAAGAAGAGGCAGTTAGAACAATTACTGGGTCTATTTTGAATGCAAATGTTCTTTTCTTCGTTGTACCACTGACTTAAACATTGGGCAATTTGCTTTAGCCTTTGCAGTACAGATTAAACAGAAATATTTCCTTTAAACATTGTGGCACGTGCAAATAAAAAAAAACATTTTTTTGCATTTTCCAACAACACTTAATTCGAATATATTTATTTTAGCAGCCGTTTGTTTGCCAGTCCTTTCAGTACACTATCAGATAACTGTTGGCTCCGGCTGTTGTCAACTTTGAAGGTACAAATTGTGCGTTTTGGCAGAACGGGAGCCTACGTTTGGCAGATATTTCTCTAGTCCATTCATAAAAAAATACAGGTCTTTTGGCAACAGCGAAAAACCTTCCATTCCATTTTCACCTACTGTAGGTGCTCGCCTTTGCTGTTAAATGATGGAGGCTCAGATCTGCTGGTAACGTGTGGCCTCATTTTACACCTCCTCTACTCCTCCATTCCCTGCTAAGTTATGCTAATGGTAAGCATCTGTGTTGGAGTTTGAGACAAAGAAATTTCTCCTTCTCCTCCTTCAGCCTGAGGACACTTTCGCTTCGAGGCCGCTCACATGCTGGTTCTGTGTCGCATAGACGCAGAGTGCAAAGTTGACATTGAGAGAAGCTGCAACAGCTTCTCGTGAGGAAAGATGAGTCTGGCCATGAAAATACAGAATACACCAGCTTTTATGCTGCAATATTTAAGCCTTCAAAATAGATTTCTTATGTTTTTCAGATTTTTTATTATTATTCTGTTAGGTATATAAAATCACAGCTATTTCACTATTGTTGCCAATTTTATTTCAGCAGTACAGGAACAAAAATTGAGGGATAACATTTATTTTCTTTGGAAACATTCATCTCAATAAAATAAGATGTTTCTTGTTAATTGTAGCAGTTAGCTTACATCGATAGCAAACTAAATAGGACATCTTGGCTAATGCTAACTGTGCTAACTGTTAGCTTGTTTTACGTTTGATTTAAATCAAATTTGATAAGTTCATGAATAATTCACAACTGTCATATTAATGTCTGTTGTGAATTATTTTAATGTTGTAAAATTCAATTTTGAGTTTTTTAAATCTGAGTAAATAATGTTTTTCTATTTTCACCACGCTATTGAGGATAGGATGGAAATTATTTAAAGGGCTAAGCACTGTAACCTTTACAAATTTGTCTCAAACACGTTTTCAGACTCAACTATTTTCAAATGCAGATTAACACACATATACAACACATACATGGGCAGTACTGAGTATTTTTGGAGTCAGGAGGTAGTATGTGGGATTTACACAAAACAGAGAGGGCCCACGTTGATCGTAACAAAGGGAGATGTTACCCAGTGCAACAGTGTGAGTCACTTCAGTGTTTTTGGAGCAACAATGGAGCTCACAGACGAAAAAGCTGCTGTAACTGATTTGTGTGGGATCAGTTGTCTGTTAGCTTTGGATTTCTCGGTAGATTTGGTGACATTAAAAGTATTTAATATTGCCATTTTCATAACGGCCCCTATCCTCTCACTGCCTTTTCTTTAGGGTTAACTTCCAGCTTTATCTCTCCTCACCTTCACCTTTCTTTCTCCCTGTCTCACCATTCGCCTCTCCATCTCTCGGCTTGGTGAAAACCCATATGGGAGAGCTGCCGGCTGGGATGCCTGCTCATGCGCCCAACCACGGTGCCCTCACCCTCCTGCCATCTGTTAGTGCCTCTCCAGCCTGCTGCAGGTTTGCCAACAGGACAATTCAGATGGTCAGCAGTCTCCTGCCACTATGGCCACCCACCCTGGCTACCTCTGAAGGACATCAGGACAGTCTTGGTGACCTCTGGTTATCTACTGTACACCACACTAGTCCATGTTGGGTTTTAGGCAAAGGCTAAGTCACACGCATAGTTTAAATGTTTTGCCTTTAACACAGCAGTTGTCTTTAGTGTTGTAGTGTTCTGAACAATTATAAAAAGTAAAAGTAATGAAACGAATCAAATAAAGTGCAGACATTTAATGGATTTTTTAGACTATCATAACTAGTTTAATGCAGTTTTATGTGTTTAGATTTAAGGCGCGTTTATTCACTTTTGGAGCAACTTAAATCATAAGTTAAATTAAAAGCCAAATCAGATTAGGACATCTAAAGTCAAGTGCCTGTAGCCAGGCAAATCCCCTCAGGTTTGTCATTTCCAGAGAGCAGGAGTACTCGTGGCAAAATAAAGTGAGAAAAAAGAAAAACCCCTCTCGGGTTTCTAATCCAGCCCACCAACGGGAACCTTCTCGATAATCTCAGGCTGTGATCTGAGTCACATGGAGTTAAAAGGCCTGCGATCTCGCTTGATGCCAAATCTCTTACAGCTTCATTTTACCAAACTGTTATCTGTGACCACTAAATCTTGAAATGCAATTAAAAGTTGCCAAACTAAATGTCAAATGTGACCTTCTCTCTTTGTTCTTGTTCAAAACTCTAACTTCTGCCTTTTGTTCAACTTTCATTTGCAGGTTAAAGAGTGTTGAGGACACCGGGAGGTTTTGTATTTTTTCTCACAGTTTAATGTGCATTTTGGCTCAAATGAAAGACATGTGCTCTATCTGGGTCCCACTGAGTTCCACTCACTCAATTTCTGTCCCCACCTTGGCACTACTTCCTCCAGAAATGGGCCGTGCCAAGTAACCAGTCACCGTGTGCAACCACCGTATACAGCCAGGTGAAGTACGACCAACTAGCTTATCCTCATCACTGTGAGTGAAAAATGAACTCTTGTCAGACATTGGAAAATGTTTTAAAACTTTTAGGAAGTATTCTTAGAAACAGAATTTGTCCTTTTGTTGGATAAAATATGTAGAGCAAGGAGGAAAAAAGCACAAAAAAACAGATCATACTTGCTTTCATGCTTTAAAATCTCCAGTGAAGGATAGGGAGTGTAAAAGAAGGCCAGCCAACCTCCAAGTAAAGAAGGATAAATGCAGGAGTACTTAATATTACACCGCCTGATTTAGAAAATATAACCACACTCAATGGTTTGCACAAAAAAGGAGTTTGGGGAAAGGTCAAGGAGGAGCATATTTTTAAGATTTTATTAAAAAAGAAAATTCAAAACAGACATCAACTGACAGCAGTTTGGACTACCTGGAGTTAAAAATACCACTTCAACTACCTAAAAAAAAGTTAGCCACAATATTTTGATGTTTTCTTATGCAAATAAGTCACAGTGCAATAATATCTCAGTAGCGGTCCCAAGAACAACAAGGGAAAACAGAGACACGCACACACACGCACACACAGATAACCCCCCAACCCAAACCATGCACCTGTAGACCTGCAAGATTGCTGCAGCTCTCCTGAGAGCACTTGTGCAAGCAAAGGTGAGGGCACTGAGAGACATGGAAAAACACACACAGTCACTTGCTTTTTACGCCAGTACAAACACACCAGTGAAGATGAGTGAAAAAAAAAACGCCACAGATGTTCACACACACGCATAAACATAACACATGCACAGACAAAGAGACAGGGAAAAGCGACATGGTTTCTTACTCACAGTTTTCAGTCTGGAAATCTGGAACGAACTGCTCATCATTGTCGGGAACTTGAGCTAAAGACACGAGCAGAGAAGAAGAAAGGGATTGATTGTTTCTGATGTTGATGGACACCGCAGCACTGATCACAGCTTTGTCCTCTGGCAAACAGTCCTCTGGGATGTTAGTTTGGCCAATCCCAGCACTGCCTGCTTCTGTTGTCAGTTTAAAAAAAAAGAAAAGAAGCCTAAAAAAGTGTTTTTAATGTGTTTATCGTTTTAAATGTGCAGAAGATTTCAATATGCTGTAAATCTTCAGTCATAGAAATAATCATGCAAATTAAAATCAATTAATGAATTAAAAAAACATCTTAATATAGATTTTTTTTATCCATTCTTAAACTTTCAGTCGTTTTACGCATTTGTTATCCAGCTACAGCCCAGTTGTTCAAATGTCCATTTTCTATGCACTTTTTTTCGATTTTATATCTATATCATTCCCTTAAAAAAGAGAGAGAGAAAAGAAAACAGCAAAAAAACACCTTTGATTTGTTGTAGAAAAAGAGCTTAATTAAATTTTTTTTCTTTCTGAAAATAAAATCTGACTTTCACGGCTTGAAAAAGGACAAAAAGTCCCCAAGACGACAACTCTGATGCAATCAAAAGACTAAATAACCTTGAACTGCTGTGACTAACACATTCCCTGATATTTACTAAAGCGGTTGAGTCATATTTTCCAACAAACTCGTACCTGACAGATAATATTTTGACCGTCTACTTTCACTTCCTGAGGTCGACTTGTCCATTGACTGCTCTGCAGCCTCGGCTCTCGCTCCTTGCCAGCAGCCAAACACCCATTGTTAACAGTATCTAATTGGCTTCTTCCCTACTGGTGAATCCACCTGTACCTACCGAGTTAGGTCTGTTCCAAACCCTCCAAAGCTTCACCTGCGCTTCAAACACCCCTGCACTCAGGCTAATGCTAAAATAATGAAGCCCTGCTCCACTCGGGCTCCAATTAGGCATGTACATATTTATATAACACATATTTACACTCAGTGACAGTTCTTCATGTCCCTTAAGTTTCAGTCTCTCTGGTGATGGGCAAAAAGAGATTTAAATGTGTCATTAGCACATCTATTTATAAACAAAATGAGGTGGATCCTCATTATCACAGTATGTGCAGCATGCCTTGACATGTCTGGAGATCCTTTTTTTTTTTTTTAAATGACTGATATTCCTTTTTTGTCACTCTTGATGTGGTCAAGCGTGGGTTTATTTCTCTTCCCAGAAGTGAGAATTGAGGAGGGTAAACAATTAACAGATGAAGAGGAGATATTGCTCCTTATTTTCTAAAGATGTCAAGCGGGTGCAGACGCCAGAAAATAAATATGCACAAGCAACTTGACTCCATATGTTTGTGTAGTAGAAGCTACCAGCTCTCTATTTTGGCCTTTTGGAATTAAGTTGGTGGGAAACAATTAAGACATAACAGGAGATTTTACACAGGGCTACTTTTGTAATAAATTAAAGGACATGTAATAATATGTAACAGATACAGAGTTAGGAAAACACTTACTCAAACCTTATAAACAAATCAAATTTTTCCTAATAAAAAACCAAGTTCTTAATCAGCTGAAGCACCACAACATCTCTCGAAACTTCAGCGGACACAGAGGAGAAACAATAAAAATTAATTAATTAATTAAACACAAAGAAGGTGGCAGTCTCTCTGTGACCAAAAGGAAGTACAGGATGGATGAGTCACTGGCCTCAGTCTGTGAATGAGCCAGCTGATCTCTGCAACAAACTCCTGGGGAGAACGGCAGAGTTGGAAATCTGCCGCCATTCACAAAACCAAAAAAAAGGAGGGAGAGGGACAGAAGGAAAACGGGAGCGAGGGTAAAGAAGAGGAAGGTTGTAAACACGAGGCCTGAGACTATTTGAATGGTTGTCTAAACCTGCAACAGCAGTAAGCAGGGCTGAGTTTTAAACAAATTTATCACTCTGCCTGTGACGATTTCCAAGACAAATGACGCTGTCAGCACAAATATTTTGCAGAGACACCAGTGCGTGAACAAAGGAAAAAAGAAAAACAATCTTAAAGCAAAAAATCTGAGAAGTACAATACATTTTTTGTTGTTGTTTTGTTTTGAATAAAAAGGAACTAAAACGAGTTTAAAATACTGTACGGAAGAAAGAAGGTAGATGTCGTTTTGGGGGGGAGGTCACAGATTCGCATGTCACGATCAACCTTCAACATTTTGGGTCTCGGGAGTCGGAAATTCAGTCTGTCGCTCATAATTTCTCCTCTCGTTCCAATTACCTGAACTAATAAATCTCAGAAATGGGAAGGTATTCCTTTTCATCTTAATGGACAGGAAGTCATTCATTAAATCTACAATCTTGAGGCGCACATCATCACATTGATCCATGACAGGCAGAACTGTAATCTTTAACAGTAATACCTCTTATCAGCCGCTGTCTCTTTTCCCACTTTGGATACTGAAATATTAAAATCGTGTCTTATTCTTTTACACACCCCGCGGTGCGAGCCGCGACGCCTCGTCTCACCTCGCTGCCGCTCCGAGTCGGCTCAACTCTTCCAATATCTGTTTTAAAGAATACTTCTCATTTTTTAAAAGCTTTGGATTGCACTGCGAGCGTTTTCACATGTGTTAAAGAATAGATGGAGCGAATAAATGATTGAGTCTTCTTTGGCTGCGTAAAGGGAGCAAGCGAAAAATTCATCTCGACACTCTTCCAGTAAATGTTTTACGACTCTATCCTATGGTTAAAAAAAAAGTATTAAAGTTTATTTAATTATATTGCACACGTTATTCTACGACAACCAGAATTATTGCTTGACGACGTGTGAACTGTTAGAAAAAAAGAAGGCAGCCTTTTATTGCTGCAAACGGGTAACAGAACACAAAAATTCTAAATTCACAAACTGCAGATGACTTGATTGACTTAAATGACACAAGACAGTACAGTAAAACTAACATCAGCGTCTCATTAGACTAAATGCTTTTTGGTGTTAATGTATTCAAATGAACCAAATTATGAAGCAGAACATTTTAGCATTACAATATAATAACTCCAACTTCAGTTTTATACAATTCTACGAAATTTTCAATTTTAATATTTCATTATTAAACCTTTATTTAAAACTATATGAAAAATGCACATAAATCAGTGAGTTTCTAACACATATAACACTTTATACATTAGCCAACGAGCTATAGTAAAGCAAAGTCTAGAATTAGTCTAGTACAATAATAGGGACAATTGTAATCAAGTGACTTATAAACTTCATTTTAACCCTGTGCTTTGGACATTTTGCAGAGAAAACACTAGAATTTGTTTTAATTTTCAGGTTTATATATATTTGCAAAAACTACTTCAAAATCCAACTTTATAAAACAGTTGTGTTCTCTCACACTGTACAACTTTACACCATCTGTTTGCAAAGCAAAGCAAACACTTCACATATATCTCAAATTATACTTCTTACTGTAAAATTATTTTTTTACTTGGATATAAACTTTGAGACTACATGCAATATTAAGGTACGTTACATCTTTCTGAGATGTTGACAAAAAAGTCCAACATGCATGCACAAAGAAATACAGCAAAAGTGAACAATATTCACCACTAACCAAAACTTCGGTGCTGCAGACACGGAGGAAAGAGGACGCTCGCACTTAAATCCTGAAGCATCACGTCTCAGTTAGACCACAATGAGCGAGTCTTGCCATTAGAGAAAAAAAAATTTAAAAAGCAAGAAAATTGTAATATTAAAAAAAAAAAAAAAATCAGTTGTCGCTGTGAGAGCTGGCTGCTGTTTTGGAAGTTTGCGGAGGAAAAAAAATTACTCATAGATCCATTCTCTCTCTTTTTTTTTGCCACCAAGAAATGAAATTGAAGAAGACAAGGTGAAGGTACAGCTGTACAAGATAGAGAGGTGTGCTGAGAGGAAGCAAAGAGAGAGAGGGAAGGAGAGAGAGAGAGAGAAAGGGGAGAGAGAGGAGATGACAGAGTGAGTGAGAGTAAGAGAGCTGGTAGGCTACAGCAGAGCTCTGGTGGAGGTGGAGGTAGTGGCGGCTGGCGTGCAGCGCGTTAGCTCCTGCCAAAAGCAGAAGAGACAGTGAGCGTCGGAGAGCCTTCTCCTGGTAATTTGTGATGACACTCTCTGGGTAGAGCCTCCTCGGTCTCCCTCAAGACCCCTCGCTCACAGTCTCTAATGTATGCATGACACACAAGGTGCCTCTTCCACACAGGCTTTTAATTGGACTGCGACGCTAGGCATGTAACTCCAGGCAGCACCCCCCCACCCCCACCCCCCCAACACTCACAACCTATTCATTTTTACCCATCTCTCCTCCTTTTTTTTGCTCAAGATTTAAAACACTCACCTTCTGCTAGCCAAGTCTCCTGCAGCTGACTGAGGTCCTGGAAAAGCTCTGAAAGGGAAACCGAGGCAGAGATCAAGGTTTGAAGGCAGCTGAAAAACAGTCGAAGCTCAAGAGAAGTATCAGAAACAAGTGCATTCACTATTACTGGCTGATATGCCATTGGAGCTCACTGGGCATGTGTGCAGCTAATAACAAGTCAATTTGTGTTTCTGACCACTGAAAAGAGGCTTGTGAGAATCATCACAGGCCGCTGTGCTGTAATTGAGATTCTGTAGTTAGCAGCACAGGTGGCCACAAACCAATTGAATTTTGCTAAATGTTTAGAAGCCGTGAAATTAACTTCTCCCTCTGTCCTACCTTCACTGTCCAGAGCCAGGTCGGACTTAATGAATTTTCTCTTTCTGTCATTTGCTGGCCTCTCGCAGCTCGTTGTCTTTTCTTGCAGCTTTTGGGAAAGAAAAACACACACACACACTCATCAATTTTTCTTCTTCTTGCTGGAGCAGTAATTCTGTTGTTGGCTGCATCACATGTGCAACTGAAATAGCAAATGAAAGAGCCTCAATGAGCCTCTGATTAATGCCTCACACACTTCTAAAGCTTGACCCATGCAAAGGGGTCTGTGCTTCACTTATCAGGCATAATTAACAAGTTGTTACATGGTGCATAACCAATAACACAGGGTAAAGTAATGGGCACCTTGTTTGGCTGTTTATCTTTGATGATTAGATGAAACTTAAATGGTCCCTGAGGGAGAAATGAGTGTTGGCAGCAGCAGAGAGAAAGACAGCGGTGAGATCAGAACAAATAGAATGCATTAGAGAGAACAGCCATCCACAGTACAAAAGGCAGAAAAAAAAATCAAGATGAAGTATTTTCCTTAATGGGGTGGGAGCTGGAAGAAGAGAAGGATGAGTGAAACTGATTTCATTTCAACTTTTCTTCTTTTGAGGCAGTGATCACTCACTCTGGAGTTATAGTAAGGCACTTGCTGATCGTGAAATCCATCCATTCTGCACTGTTGCGGCTTTAACGGGCGAGCAATCTGCAAAGTCTCCAGTCTCCTGTCCGGCCACCCTTCAAACAGGCAGATAAATAGGAAGCAGGAATAAGGAAGAGAAGAACTTCGGGTTTAAATCTCTGTTTTATTCAGTGTATGAACCCTCTGATATTATTCTGAGCCTGGAATGACCGACGGCACCTCCGGCGATCATGCGGTACAGTTAAGTTGGTGCGTAAACGAGCAGCGCGCTGAGCTAGAGGGCGCACCAAAATGTTTTTCGCTCTGTTATAAACTTAGAAATGAGAGGAAGTGTGTAAAACTGCATGTACTTACCTACCAACTTCGCGCCGCTTTCATTTGCTGAGAGCTACAGAGCGGCTGCAGGATCTCCACAGTCCCGGCTGCTGCCTGCGCCTCTCCCCGCTCACTGTGTTGCTTTCTAGCGGCTTGGCATCGCCTCCCGGGGCCTCCCATGGAAACAAGCCGCACTCCGTTTCCTATTGGTTGTCAATGTCTTTCACTGGATCAGATTGCTGGCAGTCAATCACGCACGGCTGCAGGCGGTAAGCGCGGGCGAAGTCAATGACAACATTGTCGCGCGCTCATCTCGCTTTGTTTAAGTTTGGACTTTTGAGTTTTTAAGCCGAAACTAGGCACCAAACTTCATGACAACTTGTCACTATTTTGTATTTACACTGAAACACATGCAAACTGCACCTGCACACCCCCGCCCTCGCGCGCACGTCTTCACCCCCTCTCCTTCTCGTTTTTTTTCGCAATCGCATACAGTGTGAGACACACAAACACACCACTCACTCTTCTCCCGGTCAAGTTTGTGTCCATGGTAACGGTGTTTTGAAGAGCCTCCAGGGGGACTTGCTGAAGCGCCAGCTCTTCCCTCTCCTGTAAAGGGATACTTTGTTGAGACCTGCAGAAGGCACTGACCTGGAAGTAAAGCCCAGGTCAGCGGGTAAAAAAAAAAAGAAATCCCACTGAACCCCGCTTCCTCAAACCATTTTAAATTAAGAGGGAAGTCCAGATCCCAAACCTGAATGTCATGGAAAGTTTTAATCGTGCAGTTTTACAGCTAAAACGTAACATTTGCTTTACATTTAATATTATGTAATACCAGTACCAGGGTCGGCCAGTACAGTTACTAGCAGTTAACACCAATATTAAAACATTACAAGTTGCAAATTCTCTTTATTCTTTCAATAGAAAAAAAAAATATGGCATGACTTCAAAACGCCACTGTGATAATGCATACTAATAACAGGTTACTTCTGATCTGTGCATTTCTTTTCTTCGGTTTAAACAATACATAGAAAATGTTAGTTATGTGAAATAACCAAACACCAGCATTTCGGAGAATATCGATGTGCTTATGTTTCTCTTTTTAGGCCTTAAACTGATGACACTGGTGTCAATACTCAAAACAAGATTTTGTATTGGACATATGGGTACTTATTTGTTATTCGCATGAACACGCTTTCGCAATTTACCATGAATTCTTCTCAGAGCCCGAATAAACTCTAAAAATGTTGAGTATGTGACATCCAGCAAGTGTTATTCATCATAACAAAATCTTAATTTAACTATTGTTTTCAATGCCAAAGTGGTTAAGGGCAGAGATGTCAAACATACAGCCCTGAGGACTAAAACTGCCAATAAATACAACAATACAGTGACAGAACTAGAGTACAATCTTTTTGTTTTTTGGCATTATTCTAGCCTGGAGTGAAAGTTTTAGGAAAGTTACATGGTTTTATATGTTTTTTTTTTTTTTTAACAAAATCTTTGAATCATAACATTGAGATATAGTTTTGTAATTTCAAATCTTTCCTCATGCATCTCAGGCTGTTTTTCATCTGTTCTATAAATGGATCACTCATTACATGAAAAAAATAATAATAAAAAATAATGCCTTCTGTTGTCTGGCACATTTTTAAGGGATTTGGATGGGGAATGTCTTTCTTAGGTTTATGGTTTCAGCTTTTTAAAAATCTTGGCTACAACTCTGATGAACAATTTCAGAATGTACTTCTTTATTCTTAGAATTTTTTTCTAAGTGTGTATGAAATGATTTTACTGGTCTTAAGATGAAGATTTGGGTGTATGTGGTCTATGAACTAAAGAAGTTTGACACCGTGGCTTTGAGTTAAATAGAACAGCATGTACATCACAACAATAAATAAACCTGAACGTGTTGTACATGACAAGAAATAAATAATTTCTGTGAGATTTAAAGAATCAGACTTTTCAGAATAAAATACTACTTTGTTTTGTGAATCTGATAAGTTTCTCACCTTAGATCTCTTTTTCTGTTTGGTCTGACCTTTGTAGGATGTCTGCAGTTTCCTGGTTGCACACCTATATTTAAAGCTTACAGGCGTTATTTTTGAAAGAAGGTCAAGGGCAAAAAAACAATCATTACCACTGTCAGGAATGCTTTTTTGTCGCTGTTGCAGCTAAGTTGTAATTTGTAAAAATGTGTGTTGGGTGCATAACAATCAACATAGATTTGCTTGCCAGGATACAGAACAGATCTTGGATAAAACCCTGAAAGAGAACTTTACCAGTGCATCAAACACTTGACTGAAAGACGGGCATATCGGAAGTCAGTGGTGGTCACGCTGGTGCCATCTTGGATCCAGGCAGGGTTCCATTACCAGGCAGGTGAAGTGGATGTGAAGTGAAGTACTGTGTCACTCCTGCTGAACACCCTGAGGATGGAGAAACGCAGGTCAAGTGCAGGAGTCTACCCATCTGACACTGAGACAGCCAATACCCCAAACCAAGTGCCACTCCAAAAGAATATAATTGGGGTTTTCCCCATCTGTTTTATTTTCAAAAATTAAACTCAAGACATTGAAGTTACTCCAGATTACTACACTGTGTTTCACTTGTACTTATTTAGCCAAAATTGAGGTGACTAAAAATAGGGGACAAGAATAATCATTATAAAGACAGTTAACCACTTCATTTGCTGCTTATCCTCTTTGAGCATTTATTGAAACATTTCTTGCATTCTTTTGTTCTATTAAAAAAAAAGAAGAAGAAAAATTAGTGGAAAGTGAAAGCTTATTGCCAAACATTTTTACATTCTAGTAATTTCACTATCACTCACATGGGAGTGAGAGAGGGAGAGAAATAGAGCTATCTCCTCTAGGATGCAAGATGAAAAGCAAATGTTGAAGATCAGGAATTCACAGGGCGTTAAACTAACATGAACAGAATATATTTAATGGGAATGAGCATTAATCTTGGCAAGTTATACTAACTAATGAGTAGTTATTCAGTTTAATTCGATTTTATTTATGTAGTATAGCAATAGTGATTGCTATAGTATAGCAGTCTCCAGGTGCTGTAAGCAAAGACTCTACAATAATACAGAGATTAGAGTTATGTAGATTCAAATTCCAAGTCAATATCTCCCTGTTGGTGAAATGAGATGAAAAACCATGTGCTATCTGGGTTTGCTTAGAAACAAATGGCTGCAAACTAGTGGCACAAAAATGAAAGTAAAGCCATTGTCTCAGAGAATCAGTTAGGTCCATAGGTTTTTGGCTAGCAGCAAAGGTTTTGTAATTTTGCCTCTGTAAACCACCTCACTGAACTTTGACTTTAAATGATCATAATTAGATTGAAGTATAGACTTGCAGCTTTAATTCAAGGGGTTTGACAAATGTTATTACAGATGTTTTATATCTGTGCCCCATTTTCATAGGCACAGAATCATTGGACAATTGAGAGCTGTTCCCTCATTGTCCCATGACAAATTAAGCAGATTAAAGATCTGGACTTGTGTCAAACTTGCATTTGGTATTTTTTTATTGCATAGCATGAAGTCCCATGAGATACTGTTGCAAGTTAAGGACGCCTTAGAATCATTAGATTGGGGGGGAAAAGACCAAAAGAAAACTATCAGAAAGATTGCAAAAACTTTAGGGGTGTCCAAGTCAAGAATCTGTTACATTCTTATAAAACATGGAGGAATTGGCCAGTTCAGCAAAACCAAACATCCCCAAAGACCACAGAAGACTGGATAGAGAAAGCCCAGTCAAGAACACTCAATGAGGGGGGAGTATCATTGTCAACGTCTGCAATCATGAAATCTCTTCATGAATGTTAAAGATGCAACAAGGTCCAAACCACAACTTACACCGAAGAACAGGAAGGAAAGATTAGACTTTGGACAGATGATGACCAAGATTAGCTGGTACTGAAATAATGGGAAGGAAAAAGGCATCTAGAAGGAAAGAGGCAGCTCATGACTCAATTAATACGACATCATCTGTCAAACATGGTGGAGACAATGAGATGGCATTGGGCATGTATAGCTGCCAGTGGAACTGGGCTGTTGGCAGTGTTATTATAGTGTGTAGTGGATAATGAACCAAAGCATATTGCAAAAGAGTTTCTCAAGACAAAGAGATGGGATCCTAACCCTATTCTTCGATGGCCAAGGCAGTTACCTCATTTCAACCCAGTAGAACATGCTTTTTAATTATTAAATACAAAACTGAATGGAGAGAGGGCCACAAACTCTGTGGTTTTGTACAGAGGCACATTGCAAAAAGTGGTGTAACTGCCCCAAAAGTTATAGACCTAACTGTATTGCCCAGAGTTGTACTGCATGTGACAAAGAAATTACCCAACTTTGTCACACTGGCCATCAGTGTTCTATAAAGTGCTACTTTTCTAGTACAAAGACTGTATGATGTCCCATTGTGCCTCTGTGGAAACAGAGCTGGTAATTTAGCTAATTCTACTCTAATCATCAACTTCTACTTAAACATTTCTAGTAGTGTGAAAGCAAGCAGTAGACCGTTGCTGATACACTGCTATGCTAAATTTGATAAACAGCAATGGAGACAATATCCTGACCGATAACAGCCTTGCATTTATGTCGCCCTTTTGTCAATTTTGTTCATACAGAAAACACAATATTATAATTGCAATTAAAGCGCCTACCTCATATTTGTGTCATACTTATAATTATCAATTAATCTAGCATGCATGTCTCTGGAGGAGGATGGAGCACCTGAGGAAACACAGGACCAGAGAGGACATAAAGACTGCACTGATTCAAATCGTGCTGTTGCCTCAAAGCTTCTTTCTTTGAGGCAACAGCGCGAACTGTGACGCCCGTAGAATTTGAATCTGTTATACCAACAATCTTTTGACTAATACGTGACCACTATGCATCATTAAGGAGTAAAAGGTTAAAAAAAATTCCTGAACACAATGCCAAACAACAAGCTTTTTTATTGTTTCCATCACTTTTCTCAGTCAACACTGGCAGGCATAATTTCTTTTTAGGCAACAACAAAATGGTGTGAGTTCTAGAGTGAAGCAAAAAGCAGAAAAATAAATAATACTGTGTACAAAAATACAACCTCACTGTATAAACGCTACACAATACAAAGCGAAAAGACATGGGAGACTCCTTGGCTATCGTCTCCGCCGGCATATGGCACTTATAAAGACCGAAACAGTCAAGCCTAAAATTCTTCCCAAAACATGCAAATGTGAAGTTCTATAAAAACAAATGCATTTATCAAGTGTGTCTCGCTGGTAGGTCTGTAACATAATGTCCCCAGAATATGAACTGTGCATATGTTAGTGACTGTTATAAAATGTGACTGATTTTCAGTATTGATTCTTCAAAAGGTTGTTACCAACATGTTGGATTTCTGAACTCTCTTGGGCAGCGTTCTAGATATTTCTTTAGGAATAGTTCTCCAGGCTCCTTGAATGACATTCAAAGCTCTACTTTGGACGTTGGCTTCCTTTTGGTCTCTTCTCTGTTGAGATGATCCCCCAGTGCTGCAATTATGTTAATGTTCGAGCTCTATGGAGGCCAAGCCATTACTTAGTGTCTTGTTTTGTGTTTTTCTATCCACGTATACGTTTACTGCATTGGCAGTGAGTTTGGGATCATTGTCACGCTGAAGAATTAAGCTTTTGCCAATCCAATGCTTTCCAGATGGTACATCATGGTGGATTAAAATCAGCTGGTAGTTTTGCCTGGTCATAATTCCAATTTTGGCAAAATCCCCTACACCACTGGTTGAAATGCAGCCCCAAACCATGACAGAGCCTCCGCTGTGTATTACAGATGCCTGTAGACACTCACTGTGGTTGCTCTCTCCTGACCTGCTCCAAACATATTTTAATTCAAAATGTAACATTTGGATCAACTTCACAAGACCTGTTACCGCTGATTTATAGTCCTTTCTTTCCCTGTTTCCCTTCTTTAAGAATGGCTTCTTCATAGCCACCTTCATACTGAGAACATTTATGATGGGGCTTTGCCGAAAGGAGATGAATCAATTGAAAGGCCAGATGCATCTTTCCGGTCTCTGGGTCAAGTCTGTATTGACAAAGAGACCTGACTCAGGTGTTTTTGCTGTTTCTGAAGGACACGACTTTTATATGCTGTTTTAAGGACATAGTGCACGACATGCTAAAATAAGCCAGATTTTTGGCTAATAATCCCCTTGTTGGTCCAAAACACTATTTTATGCCAGTAAACTAAGTTATCTTTGGCATTAACTTTTTTGGGGGGATATTCAACTAAAGAAATGGGATTATGCTATTAACAAGGTGTCTTGACGCATTTTCAATCATCCAGGAAAATAAATCTCCAAAAGTTGATTCTGTTCATCTGGACGTAGAGTTTTGTGGGAGAAACGTTTCATCACTCATCCAAGGGACGAAATGTTTCTCCCAGAAAACGCTACGTCCAGATGAACAGAATCAACTTTTGGAGATATTAACAAGGTGCTAAAGTTAAAAATTAAAACTGTCTTTTTTCTAACTTGTCTGTTACGTAGACAACACTGAATGATTAAAAATCAGTGTTAAGTAGCTTAAGAAACAAACAAACAAAAAATCCTCTGAAAATTGGACCGGACTGAAAATGAGTGTAAAAACAGCCAATATCCAAAGAAAAACTTTGAAAGCCTGTAGAATTGTTGCTCAGGAGCATTATAAAAATTAAAGACAGTCTGGATACTTAGAAGCAAAATATAAAGCAATGAGGAATTTGCACAGCACTGTATATACATGAATGTCAATAGTAATTTTGTAAATCTTTCACTGTTTAATGGACGCTTACTTGTGCAGCGGACCGTAAACCCTCATCAACAAACATCAGAAAAAAATCAGTTACCATAGAAGATTAAGCTGCTTCTTGTGAACGTAACTATACAAGTGCTTGTACTATACAAGATAAATATTGTTGTTTTCTGTGGCTTTTCAAAGATTTTCATTCTAATATGCCTGAGTACCTGTTAAGAAAGCACAGGATCCCATAAAAATGCAGATAAATGATGATGTGGTTGAAACAGAGCTGTGCTGTAGATGCAGATTCAAAAATAATCAATTTCCATAAGTGTCAAAAGAGATCATGGTCACTCATGCAACAGAAAGTGTGCACAGATCTGGTAAAACTGTCTGGAAATCTCTCGTGCAACGTAAAACAAAGAGTGTCATGCATTTTTTATGAGCAATCAATAATCATTCCTAATCTTTCCACTGACGGAGAAGCAAAACAGCCAATCAAAACATGACAAGGATGACTTGCAGGAAACATGAAACGAAAGCAGATTCTCTGTCTTTGCACTATTTGAAGCCATTCATGACTGAAGCGTAGAAGAGATGTCGGGTAGAGACACTTCACTTTTTACTAGACACTTTGGGAAAAATCAGATGCAAACTCCAGATATGTCATCTCCAACAGCACCAGCCGCTTTCACTGTCCATCATGCATCAGGGGTATGCAAATACAAAAATAAAACATTAGAAAACATCAATAGCAGTTAAATATGAATAAATAAATAAATAAATAAATACATCTCACAAAACACATTCAGCGGTGGGTTTGTTACACATGGCACAGAGCACAACAGCAAAAATAAAAACAGAAGTTTAGAAAATAGAAGAACAGAAGTGAACTTCCATAAATAGCTTCAATATTTTTGGAGCGAAATTACACCACAGACTGTAGAAGAAAGTGTCAGTCCTAAATTCGCCTCGCTTTGGATTCAATGCGGGCTTCTCAGTGACATCTCCATGCTGCAGGCGACACATCCTGATCCTACACTTTGCTACTGTATGCTGGGCTATCAATCAGACAAAGGGCTCCTTTACAAACAGGCCCAGCTAAGATCAACCGGTGACTACTGCCCTGCAGGTGTGTGTGAGCACTCGGAGGTCTTGAAGGTTCAGTCTTTGCTCTCAGTGCGAGTTCGTCTGATCAGTGAAGAGAAGAAGCTTCGACCTTGTGGTGCTCCCATTAGCATGGGAGCTTGGTTCTTGTGAACGATCTCAATCTGGTATAAGAAAAGAGAGAGCTGAGATTTAGCTCAGAAAGGAAATGTGTTTTAAGCTGACTGTTAACATCTTCACATAGCATTCTTCAGTAGCTATATGAAATCACTCAGTGCTTACTATACAGTAGACTATAAAGGGAGTTTTCCCAATGCTGCCTGGCTTATAGGGAGCATTCACTCTTTAATCCACGATGAAAAAAACTGATGTCTTGTCAATTTGTCTTTCTGCTTTGCCAAGTGTTATTATTTGTTTACTCCAGCACGCCTGCTATGTACAGTGCTGTGAAAAAGTATTTGCTTCCTTCCTTATTTCTTAGTTTTTTTGCATATGTGTCATAAATGCATCTATCACACTATCAAACAAATTTTAACATTTGACAAAATCAACCCAAGTAAACACAAAACTGTGTTTGTAAAATGATGACTTCATTTATTAACCAAAAAAAATACTAACCACACCCAGGCCCTATGACATGCTGAATCAAGAAATGACTTAAATAGAACCTGTGTATGATATAAGTGCAGTTGGCTAAAGATAAAACAAAAAACAGATGAGAAAGAAACTCTTTAGGATCAGTCAGTCTGAAAAGGTTTAGACTCCTTTGTAAACCTATGAAAAAACAATTAAAGTAAAAAAATTCTGTTCTCCTTGACTTTTTCCAAAGTCATCCAGTGGACCAGACTGAAGTCTTTGACGGGCCAATTCTGGCCCACGGGCCTCATGTTTGACACCCCTGATTTAGATTTAAACCACTGAAATATATATGCCAGACGTGACTATAAGCTAAAATACTGACACATAACACTTAACACATAATATAGTCTACTTTTTTTGATTTAAGCACATTTAAGCACAAATTTGAAATTTGAAAAATTTGAAAAATTTGAAATGTGAAAATTTGAATTTTCTTTCTGTATTAAATATTTTTGTTATTATTGTATTTAATTGTTTTAGTGCACAATCCATGTCACACATGTTTTTGAAACAGCTCCTGATACTGTGAAACTATGCTTTTTTTGTTTGGTCTATTTTTGGGGGTTTTTTTGTACAACATTTCTTGTTTTCAGATAAGATAAGATTTTAGATTTAAGCACATTTAAGCACAAATTTGAAAATTTGAATTTGAAAAATTTGAAAAATTTAACATTTGAAAATTTGAATTTTCTTTCTGTATTAAATATTTTTTGTTATTATTGTATTTAATTGTTTTAGTGCACAATCCATGTCACACATGTTTTTGAAACAGCTCCTGATACTGTGAAACTATGTTTTTTTTGTTTGGTCTGTTTTTTGTGGGTTTTTTGTACGACATTTCTTGTTTTCAGATAAACATAATGCGATAACTTTACAGCACATATACTTCATATATATATTGATGTGATGCCACAATCAACAACAACAATAAACACAAACACAACAAACACAATGGTATTTAAACTATTATTTAGTTTTCACAGCTCATTTACAGAAGACTTTTACCCATAAAATGAAAGCGCCTCCATAATCAACAAATGGCTTTTTTGAATTATGTTTACCTTTCTTTTAAATCTCAGAAGGTTATCCCCATGAAATAATAAGGTCTCTATCCACTGTTCATTATACCCAGCACTTTATCCCCACAGAAGCAAATTCAGCAATGCATTAACAATTAAAAAAAAAATCCTCCATATGGATGTTGCGTCCAAATGGGTTCTTGTCAAGTGGCTTATGAATGCATATTTGAACGTCCTGACTACAACAAACTCTGAGAATCCCTGGGGTTAGTGACTCCGAAAACATATTATTGTGGATTACTGTAAAGACTGAATTTTATATTATCTGACAATATCCTGTTTGCCCGCAATGATGCAATTTCTTTTAGGAGTTGCAACTGTAGATCGATGGAACCCCAAATATCAACCATCAAGGGTTGTCATATTAAGCACATCATTATAGAGTCGCACTAAGAGTCTAAACGCAGTAATGGGGAGGGGAAATGCTACCATCTGCATTCAAAGGACCACATTCACTTCAAAGGAAAGCTGCCATTTATTGTGCTCGCACTCTGACGCTGGAGCAATTACTTAGCTTTTGTGGGCTTTCTGCCATCATTAAACATGATTGAAGTTAATGTTTATCAAGTACTTTGCCATAAACATGATAGTCTTTATAGACAAGACAGTGGCCAAAAAGAAAAAAAGATCTAAAGTGATACCTGAAATAAATTTGGATGGTAATCAAGCTCTGCTTCTTTAAGATGCAGCATTACGTATTTATATGGTTCAAGGGCCCATGGAACAATATGGCTTTTAGACAGAAAATAAAATAATTTGCTCAAATGAAGCATGGATGTAATGAGCTACCAGGTCACAATTAATCATCCAAATTAAGAAAACCGAGGGGGGATTTTACTTAGACCCTAATGAAGGTGCATTGTACCAGAATCAAACTTGGAAATATGGTGCCAGTTATTTTAGATCTACTCATCAGAGTGACACATGCTGCATTTAGCTTAAAATCTTAAATGGTTATGGTGTTAAACATGGTATGTATGCAGAGACTGATATGCATTTGCATAGCTGCTGTTGTTAATAATTAGTGGAACAACATCCAATTTGAAGTGTGATGTTTTTGTAGGCATTTAACGCGTTAAGTGATTCAGATTCAGTTCAGACATACAGCATGAAAAACTTTCCTTGGAAATCACTGCAGCACAATTATGTATCGTCAGAGCCCAACTTTGCTCTGTGTAGTTGTGCCAGCAGATACAAGAGCACTTGCAGACCACTTGTTTTGTCATGGCTGGGCGATCCATATGTAAATCTCGGCGGCACTTCATCTGCAGTGGCGTTCTAATTAAAGCTAAACACAACCGTAATCAACGCAAACTCAGGAGTTTCCTTTTGAAAAACGAGCAACTTGGACAGAGAGAAAACACTTATCGAGGTACACGTTTGTGATCTAGACGATGAGCAAATTAGAAGAAATAAGACTTGAATCATTAAGAATTTGTTATCATAAATTAATGCACTAGAATATAAAGCAGCAACAGCTGAATTGTTATATTAATCTTAATATTAAAGCATATATACTTGATATTGTATCAGCTTTTGGTTTGTTTGTCAGAAAGCCACTTTACCTCATTTACACAGAAATCATATTAATTAGTATGAAAAAGAAGTCATTGAAAGAAGATTTAATCAGTCACTAAGGTGGGTCGTATTAATGACTCCTGGACATCTCAACATCTTAGACCATAATGTCTATAAATCAAAACCTTCTTATGAATATGCAGATGTGTAGACAAGGGACAAGATTTCTGTTTTGGTTTTATAATGCAGTTGCAATAGAGCAGGCTTTGTTAGCATACAGTTAAATAGCTGATGTGGTTTCAAAACCATTGTCTTTCACCTAACAAGCATTTAACTTTTCACTTTTGGTTTTTATCTTCATGATGCCCGTGTGGGGCATTTTCACAGTAGAACTCAAGACACAACAGTAACAATGTGTTTCCTCAGAGGTTCCTCAAACAGTCTGATGTTACTCTTTAAGCTCAGAATAAAAAACCAACAAAGAACCTTTTGAAAACTTGAATTTACAGAATGAATCATGGATGCTCATTGCCACATGTTGGAAAACTTCTCAAGCATCAATCTGACTGTCAGACTGCAGATTCCATATGTAAAACGTATTAATATTTTTTCATTTGCAAATCTTTTTTTTTGTAAATGGAGATTACAAAATACTTTGCTCGATTCTTCTTTCACTGCCCTTACAGTTCACTTTATATTGGCATATAACTGTCTTTAGTTTGGATGAACCATTTGTGGAAATGCAGTTCAACTTACAGTGCACGGAGTCTGCATCCAAGGTTCACCATCAATCTGCATTGGAAGGGATTTACTGGTTCTGTAAGTGAAGAACGAGAAAACATGCTGTAACAAATCTTCACAATAAAACCAAATAAAAGCATTCTGCACCAGGATGCTTAAAAATCATCACCTTAATTTATACTCATAGCATTTTTATGCTTTTTCTTATATGCCATAGCATTTGCTACCCTAATAAACTAAAAACAATATAATAATTGGAAGAAACAGGCACAAAACATTGTTAAAGACTGACCTGATAGTCACAGAGGAGCACTGTGCCAAGCGTCGTCCAGCGCTCTTCAGGCCAGTGTAGATCTGACCCATCTCCATGGCTCCTTCGAGTCCCACAACCTCCAAGAGCTGGTCAGACAGGTCTGAGACAAAAGCAAACAAAAGCAACAAAGCAAAGAGAAAACACTTTTTTAACCGTGCAAAGTTCAGCCAAGTTTTGTCCTCATTAGTTATAGTATCATTGCTGCTTTTGAATGTAGCTACCATTCACATGAGAGGTAAACAATGCAAAAAACTCGTACTAGGAGTGAGAAGACACATGAAACAAAGTACAAAAGCGAGGAGGGGAAGAGGAAAGTGAGAAGGAGGTGAGGAAGAATAAAAGAACATGACATGTGATGTTCCTCACTTCAGAGTTTGCCTTCTGTTGCTGAAATATTTAATATTCACTGTTTGAAAAAAAAAAGATAGAAAAAAGGCAACAAGCTACAAACAAAACAGCTATTAATTAGATTGCACCGGCAATGCAAAGCAATCTTGTGATAATATAATTATTAATTTCTCTTCTGTTTTTCAGTTATGAGCATTGATTTTGCCCCTGCTGGAAGCCCAGTGTCACGCAGGGCCCATCTGTTTCGGAGGCCCGCTCTGCCTCCGACTCTCCATCAACTCATCCCTCCACAAATTAAGAAGCTGCTGCCTCGCTGTTGGTAGTATACAGACACTAATTGAAACTAAGACCCATTTTTAGGCACTCGGTGTGTGTGAGCGTGTTAGCCCCGCAATGCCGTGCGTACGTGAGTCGCGTTGGTTTCCTGAAGGAGTGTCGTGGGCGATGTTGCTGTTGCGGTGAGATGTTGTTGCCGCCGCCGAGCTGTGGTGTCCAGCTGTCACCATGGTGATGGACATGCGTCTGCCCCTATCTCAGCGCTGGACTTTGAGTGCAGCACTTTCCAGGGTCGGAGTGGAAGAGTGTGTACACATACAATCCAGAGCAGGTTGACCTCCCTGACACTGAGCTTTAAAGTTGCTCCCCCCGTCACGTGACTTCTCACGTTGATGTGAACGGCTCACGCAGGCCCATGGTGACATATATGATGGACAGCATCACCAAAGCGATAGGGATTCCTGTTTGCACCGAGCTACAAAGATCTATTATACTCTAGAGCTCTTAGCTTGGGAAAGAATGCAAAGGCTGTGCTGGTTTAAGAAGGGCAGGAGGACCCTGTGCAGCCAACACACACACAAACACACACTGAAACACACTCACAGACACAAATTTGCTTTTAGTTACAACTTTTACGATGTCTCAAAGAATTAAAGACTAACCCTGACGAAAAAAACGAGCCTATTATTTTGTGAATTCTTGTAAATCGTGCTGCTGCAGTGACATACAGTCCTGTATATCACTCATTTCTTTATATTTTTTTGCTTTTAGAGCTTTCAGGCCTTCTTGTGTGTAAAATAGAGGACAAAAGGAGAAGCAGCACTCCAACTATCTACAGATGAACAGCATCTGAAAGCCAATAAAGACCTGATATAGGCCGTCAGTTAATCTATCTGCTCTTCACAGACTCCCCATTAGAAATGAGATGAATCCAAATGTATGGAGGAGGTAAGGTGAGAGGTACAATAGTGAATGTCTACAGCCATCTGTAAAACACAGCCGAGGGCGTGTCCTAGTAAAATGTAAAGAAATGAGATGTGGCTCAAATCTTTTGCACGGTACTCCAGAAGAGTAGTGTGTTTAGAGCTGAGCTACATTTCTGATGTTGTACAACATCTGTCTCCCATATAAGTACTTTTGAACTGAACGTGTCGTAGATGCTAACAGTTGGTAAAGACGAAAAGTTTCGGTGTTTTTTGCTTCAGGCTGGGGTCCTTCTGATGTTGTTTTCCCCGGAGCCGATACTTATTTTTTATTTTAGTTGTTTTTAGGTGATTCGATGCTGTTTTATCTTGTTTTTGTTTTAATATAGGGCTGTTTTAATTTTATGTTTTATGTGTTTTATTTATTTATTTTGCTGTTTTCTGTTATTCTATTGTTTTAACTTATTTTCTGTACAGCACTTTGTTCCTGTGCTGGGTATTTTAAAGTGCTTTATAAATAAAATTGGATTGGATACTTTTATTTAAAGGTCCAAATAAGTTTCCAAAATTACATTTTCTAAGTTTACTTACTCTAAAGTCAGCTACACCAAAGTATATCAAGTATATTTAATTTAAAAGTAAAGATGCTGACGCAGTATATTAAGGTTGTGACAAATCATTAATGTTAGTTATGTATCAAGTTGACATACTGTAACTTAAGTTTATTTTCTTTTCTGAAAATAAGTTTACCGACTTTCTTACACTCCAGTGCCTTGCAATGTACACTTATTTGCATTGATGTTGATACCTTGCCTGGATCTACAGTCCAAAGAAATTAAAATATGTGTATTGGCACAACTAAACAGAATAATGAAACTGTTTAAAACTCAACAAACTCTTACCCTTACGAATTAAATTGTATTATATTTCCTGATAGGAGCATTCGGTCTCATTTTTACAAAAGCCTGAAATGAACCTTCAGGTAAAAATTGTTCTTTCAAATTAAGAGTTGAAAAAAATAGTTTTCAAAATGATAAAAAAAAAAATGATTGAAACTACAGAGGCTATCTTCTGTCTCAGAATTGTAAGGAAATTGATTCTGATCAGAATCTTTTCTAATCTGTCCATGTTCCACCTCTCCATGAGATGTCATAAAATATGGCAAAATAGTACAACAGCACTAGTCTTGGAGGAGAAATGGCCTTCAGGCAAAACTTAAAATTAGGCATATTTCCATCTCTTTCTAAGAAATGAGGACACACGACTTCAATAAGGGTCTTAATGGACTGAAATCATATTTTATCTCGAGTGGGTTTTTTTTTGTGAATTTCCATTTTTTCTTCTTGAATCACCTTCAATTATTCCATTTACGGGAAGTTCAAATGATTCACCTGGATCTACAATACAAAGCACACTCGCCTAAATATAGTAAAAAACCAACATGTTCTGAGAGATAAACTGGGAGAAAAACTGAATCACCTAACCGTTTATTCAAGAAAGAGGCCAAATTATAAAAAGTCATGATAAGCAGTCTATGGCCAAATATAAACCAAATAATCTCATTTATTTAATCTCGAATCAATGTCTCTTACGTAGGTCAAGAAATCAGGATTTCAAACTGATAAACACTACAAGTGATAGTGAATGAAACAATGATATGAACCAGTGTCCGTATGGGACATGAAAAAGCAGCACACTGCGACTTTAATCTTAGCCACATCTTCCCATCGGAGAGAGAGATTAGAAACAACGTCCTTGTCACTGTCACACAACTACCTGTCCAGGCCAGTGGCTGCACTGACACATGTGGAGCGACAGGGTGAGAGCAGAGGAATAAAAGACAGACAGTGACGGAGCAGAGCAGGACCAGCAGCCGATCTGCTGAAAGTAAAACTAAAGAGGAATGGCGGAACAAGGAGGGAGGGCATGTGGAGGCCGATCCTCCAATGAAAGCTTCATGGGGCTTGTCACGGGGGATCAGTCCCAAGCATCAACCCCTCCACCCACACATGAAGCCCCTATTCTAAATAATTCACTCTGCAGCCATTCCCTTCCACCTGAGGGGCTTGTCTCCTGGCGTCACCAGCGGGACGATTTAACAGCTCCCGAAAGGTCAGGGTTTTTTTTTTTTCATCCCCTAGCCACCCACCAGCCCACCCATCCACACAAAGATGCAACTACACATACAACTTGACAAAAAATGATCTCTGCCAACAGTCCTGTGCGTCACCCTCTGCCCCCTCTGGGCTAATGCACTCCTTTGTGTTTACCTCTAAATACGCTGTTCTCTTGATCTAACAAGTTTGGCTGCTCACCTTGAGGGCACCTTCCACAAGGGCATCTATTCTAAGATATACAGTACAGGTGGACAACACAAACACACCCACCCACATCAATACACAGGCTCAAATGGGTATGGACACACATAAACAAAGGGAAATACTCCCCACTCACACTAAGTGCCTTTCCAGGTTTAGACTGTGGCCTCTATTTTTTTTAAAATACAAACACAGAAGTGATTGATTTTTTTTCAGGGATAAATGGAGTGTTCATCATAGCAAAGCTGGGCTTTGCATTGATCAAATGTGTCCCTCGCAGTGCACATGTGCCACATGGTTCCTTTTTATTATGATTTTGCATTGGTTTAACCTGAAGTCTACTGAAATCCTTAAACCTCGATTTTTCTAGTTGTCAGCAGGGGGTCGTCCAAAAAAAGAAGTCTGGTTGTATCGGTGAACATGTCCTTGATCATTTTATGGTCCTGGTTGCAAATTGGGGGTCTTATTAAATCCAACACTGCATTTCTTTTCTAAATGATGGTCATGTTTGATATCCAAGATGACACAGCAGAGTATGTTACAGGGCAAGCCTACTGATGAAAATGCTCAGCTCGAAGCATCAAAAAGGTGATGTTAATGTGCTGGAGAATGACTTTTTTATGGGTTATTTATTGTCGGACTGAGTTGTGTTTCCTTGTCTACTTCCTCTCTGTCTCTCACTTGTTTTCTCAGTTTTTTAAACAACATAAAACAGATTCATTTTGCACAATAAATGCTGTGACTGTGAAAAAGAGTCCAATTTAAAATGTGCTGCCTTTAACCATCTTTAAAGGCAAAACAGCACCAAAGGAAACAGAAAATTGAATCACTAACTAAAAAGAATGAATTCTCCATAGTGTGCTTCACAGAGGGCTTTTTATTTTCCAGAAATTGTGCTATGGCCAGGGAAGTCTCATAAGGGATCACTGGCAGCGATGTCTGGAGATCCTTGCTGGCTCGTCATGTCTCAAAGCCAGACACTGATTGTAACATCCACTTCATCCCCAGGTACAAACACACCATCTCAGCAGGAAACCTAAAAAACATACTGTGCATCACCTGAGCAGGCACAGTTAGACATGATAGAAATAAAATACAAAAGCCAAGTAAATCCAGAATTCACGGCTGTGAGTCTACAAAAGAATTTAGAAAGACTCCTCAACAGCAATGATTAGTAATAAAATGATTTCAATAAATAACAGATTAGCAACCCGTCGTCATTCAAGCTATGTTGTAAACATGGATAAAATTGGGACATATTGATAGTAAAGCTTAACAAAAAGTAAAACTAAATTGTATTCCCTTTTAACAGGACTACAATAACTGAAAACACTTGTGCAGTGATGACATATTAAGCCATATTTATATATATATATATATATATATAGTTCTTACTATGTATTTGAAAGAAAGATTATATTGTCTGTAATTTTTCACTGCAGTACTAGAACATTCTGCTTTCTGGATATTTTCTACCCTTTGCTATTAACTCCCTAAAGCAGCTCACACAATTTCACCAGTTACCACAGAGCAGCTGACTCATTGTGTTTCGTTCATTCATATATTCCCATTGATGGGCTTCGTTTTTGACGTAAATGGATTCAGGGGTATGCCCAACACCCCACTCAGTCAGCTCCTATTAACAGAGCCTGTCCACTGGTGCCCACACAGACCATTAATACACAAGTGACAGTTCCAAACTGTGACATGATTGTACCTCTTCTTTGCAAACAAAACCTGCTGGCTGTGATTCACCTTGTCATCAGTGAAATATTAATGTGCTCAGGAAAAGTTTGTCCCAAAGTTTAGTCTTTGATCTGTGTGATAGGAGCAAGGACACAGACTGTTAGTGTCTGATGTGGGCTTCAGGGAGAAGAACCTCCTACACTGTCAAAGCTGTTTAACTTGCACTATTATTGTTTAACAGAGCAAACCAACCATGGTATGTAGCATGCAGAGGTTTGACTGCTGTTGATGACTCACCAATTACGTTACAGCATGCCGACAGATTTAGCCAGAAATGTTCAGCTATTGAAAAAATTGTGGGCGTAACGGCTCCCAAAATAATGTGTTATAGTAATCACATTACATTTTTCAGTCAGTTATTTTGTTACTCGTGTTACTTCATACATCTTCATATATCTGGACACAAGGTTGACAACTAAAAACCCTCCAAAACTGTCAGCTGATTTAAGTTTGGTACCGGTCCGTGAGTCGTTTGGTACCGGGCCACGAGAGTTGAAGCTCAGGTGTGAAATGTATAGTTTTCAGGGTTTTTATCAGTTTTCAGCGTTATTTTGTTAGCGTTTTTATTGTTAACTTGGTTTTCCTGGGTCTTTTCACGTGTGTTATGAATAAATCTTCTTTTTTTCTGTACTGGTACTAGTTTTATTTTGCTGTATTTATCCGCGACACCTTAAAGGCCGGTCCGTGAAAATATTGTCGGGCATAAACCGGTCCGTGGTGCAAAAAAGGTTGGGGACTGCTGGTTTACAGCTTTTGAGGAATAGGGATATGAACCTTACTTTTATTTTGACTGAATGAAAGGACGAGTGCAAATGCGATATGCCTCACAGACAGACACAGCCACATTATTCTGTTAACACTACGTTGGCACTCTGGAAGCATGTGCACAGAAATCATGCTAACACAAAGCTAATGAAAAGCCCCAGAGTGATGCTAAAGCTGAGTGTATGCAGACCCCAGCCCAGCAGCTAGAGCCTGAACTTTCACATCAGTTAATGCAATATGTACTACACCAAAGTGGCCACTTACCAAAAAATCAATAGGCTACAACATGCTCCTTCAAGCTATGTTGCTAAATATGGCTTTGTAGCCACATAGCCAAGTATAACACAGGTCATTAGAGCATTTTATTTAGCAATAACACATTTTCTCTGTGAGTTTAGATTCGTAATGTAATTAAGCTTTCTAACCACACTGACTTCAGCATTTATGTAAACAACTGTAAAATTTGGGTGTCAGAGCTACCTTGAACCGCAAACATGAGTTCTTTGGGGTCGAGCACAGGTGTCCTTTTGTCTTGACCCTTCTTTCCTCCCTTGCGGTTGCCCCTCCTCTTCTTGCTTTCACCCCATAGGTTGGAGCCACCGTGCATGCTGGGAATGTTGAGAATGGCAATGCCTTCCAAGGAAATACTGCTAAGGTCCAGAGTAACACCATCGCACTTTTAAAAGAACACAGAAAGAGAAGGACAGATACAATCTGTTTCATCACAAGCTTTGTACTACAGTTTGATCCTGAAATAGTCTATAAGATGATGAACCCTAAACAGTGTTTTTCCCCAATGGCTAAACCAGAATATATTGCTTTGTCTAAGTGAGACGAACCTTTCATTCTTAACCAGTTCTCACCCCAGAGTGTCAATGCTGCCGTTGTGCCATAACGTGACACGGCTTTTAAAAATATTAGTAAGCACAGGGAGGTCATCTTTGAAAGAGAACTGGAAGTCCACTTTGTGTAGTTCTGTTTTCAGTTACTGTTCAGTAAAGTATAAAAACTACTTTATTGGAAAAATAGAGTTGAAATAAGCTCAATTACAACCCCAGATGTTCAAACATTACTCTTATAACCTAAAATCAAATCTTTATTTCTAAAGTGTTCTTAAGGTAAGACAAGTTTTAGTTTCTGCTTACTCTCCACTATTTGGTTTAATTTAGGCACATAGCTAATATATACTTAATCTTATTAAGTAGAGGTCTAGGAATCAGAATTTTAGAAAGATGGGAGAACACCAGAGCACCTGGTTGTTTTAACTTTAAAACATAAGTACACTTTGTACTAACTGCTTGACCCATCCTGCCCTCATTTTAATTATGCTTAAAAGAGCCCAGCATGAAGGGGCAAGTGTCCTCATAGTTATTCTGTGTTAACCCAGAAATATTGTATTATATATTACTCTAAATGGTGCATTTTATCACTCAGGGATGTCTCATCATCTCCCTACCTGTCCTTCTTCAGTAATGTAAGCACTACTCAGCCCTAATTAATGAAGACCTCTGCACTGTGTGGATAGCTCTGAGAAGAGGGAAGATGAATTGTATAGACACCATCTTCATTATCACTCAATATCGCACACAGCAGGGTCGTGTAGGGCTAATTACCTGTGTGTTACACTAAGGTTATGTGAGAAGTGGGTGGGGAGGTGCACAGATAGCCTTCACACATCCACACTTTGTCTGGGTGAATCTGAAACTAGTATACATTAGTGCTATTTATGGAGCAGCAGAAGACGAGAATATCTTAAATGACATCAATATTCTTACCTGACTGCTAGTGAAATACCCTTAATAATAAAGAATACATGATTGCTTCGTATCTAAGAGCTGAGAAAAAGAAGAATAAGTTACAAAGCAACAAATTTCAAAAATATATGCTTTTGCTTTTGTTTCTTTTCTTGGAAAAGTCTCCAAAAACAAAATACATGGTTTGAGTTACCTCAACCTCCAGAAAGTCGTGGAGCTTCTTACACGTGGCCGAAAAGGTCTCCGACGTGCCGAACTCAAAGTACCACAGCTTATTCTTTGTTCTGAAAAAAACAAAACAACAGGAACTGCAAAGGGACTGAGAAAAAAGGAAACACGGGAGTGCTTTCCCCACATCAAAATCTGAAGCTTGTGCTCTCTGCCTTTAGTCTCCTATATACTGGATTATATAAAAAAATAGAAGACCACTCCATAAAGGTGGGTTTGTGCTTGAATCATGTTTGAAAAAGAATCTTTTAATCTACACAGGAAATGTACTTTTACCATTTACAGCTTGCTAAAACCACACAGCCATTAATCCAAAAGAAGTATAATGTGTTTCATTAATCACTGAATTCAAAGCTGGTTAAGGAGGCATCTGAGGGAGCACTTCGGGTGGCCGTGCCCAACATTAAGGAGCAGGGAGGGGCATAAGAGGGTAATCTACCTGCCCTGGCAATTAACAGAGGACTAGGGTGCTGCTCCCCAGGCTTCCTACAGTGTACACTCCAGTCCCTAAGGCTGATGATCAATGACCTTGCAGGGGTGAGTCACCATCTGTCCAAACACTGCTATACTGTATTGTATTTTCTCTCAGGTACACAAATAAAATAAAACTGTAATTGTAATTTGATTTTCATTAATAAAGTAACATTAATATGTGCATCTTTGTGTAAAACAGGTGAAAGTAAAACTGCATGTCAAGGATAATTTGAATACTGCATTATTTATTTTATTTCTTTAATAATTTAAACCCCTGAACAAGAAGAATTCATCAACTTTGCTTTAAACAAGACTTGAAAGAACTATTACTGATCACTAGCTCGGTTTCATGCAATTAGAGGAGGCTGGATCTTTGAACTTATTTACTTTAAGCCAAACTTGTTAGATCAGGTCATCAACTTCACAATGATTGTATTTATGGGGAAATGTTGATGGAGTAAAACACTGCACTGCTAATGTAAGGTTATGACACAGTGAAACAAATACAGTGAATTAGTTCATAGATTTTTTACATTCAGCTCTGTTTACTGCTTTACAATAAGTCAACACTAACTTTTTTCACCATGCTATGAGGTAGATTACTCAACATGTTTCTTCTCAACTTTCTCCTTTTTTTGGCAAATAACCAAACCTCCTGCTGGCGACTTCAGTGAAAAGTACTTCAGTGGAGTAGATGGTGGGATGGTGGAGAAAAAATGGTCATTGCAAGCAATTCAATAAAAACATCAAACCTCTCATTAATCACGGTGATTTGTGCCGAGCAAATACCAGAGTAATGTTTCATATTAACAATTCAAGTGAAAATATTTTTTACATTTCTTCACTCTTTCCTCATCAAAAAGAAGTTTATTGGATATTGAAGAACACGTGAGGCAGCTTTTGATGTTTCTAACGGGACATCATTTATCTCAAAGATACAAGGAAAGGAAAAAAAAAACTACAACAATGCTGACAAGCAGAACTGAATACAGTAACAAATGTTACTCTCCTAGCTGGGATCAAAGCACTACAAGAGGAACGTATTAGTATAAGCACAGCAACAATCACTGAATTATTGATTTCCTCATTAGGACTTTTGTCAGGACCATTTAGCCACTTTATAAATGAGCTTTCATTAGAGTACTAGCAAGGTACACTTGATTTATAATGTGCAATATGGTCAATAGCAGAGAGAAGAAAGCAGAGGAAGGTGGTAAGAGGTATAAGGACGACCAGGGCCATGCTGGGAGAATTTACATAACACATTCCTACATCTCCTCCACCACCACCACACCGCCATTGTCATCATGAGTCTGTAAACTGGGCGGACGAGAGGGAAAGCCCAGGAGAACACATAAACAAAACCTGTGC